TATGATACGTACACAGCTACGTAAACAAAGTTACGATAAACTATCAGTTCTAAATATACGTAAATTTAACACTCGCATCGAAAGCTTAAATTAAAACAGTCGTCTATATCTAACAAATGCTTTTTTCTACTCACACCATACTTTCATCATTGCCATATACGTCACATTCTTGTATTAAATTGAGGTTGGACGTGGATTGTTTGACATTTTCTGTAAATTAATATGCCTTTTATGTATGGCTGCAAGATGAGGTGCAACTCACCTACAAAATTATATTGCTTCACGTTTTATTGATTCAGTAAATACAGCTTCCTGGGTGTCTGGCATCTATATGTTGCATTATTTCCGCTTATTTTATAAATACTGTTACGTCTGTGTTCGTTTGTTAATTTTTCTTAGAAAATCTTCCCGAGAAACTTCATCGATACAAGTTCTTTCTTAAATAAAACTAGTTTATTCTTTCTCAATACAACTTTGCAATACACTTATTTTCCACAGTCACTTAAACACACGCTATAATTTTCAACGAACGTTCACGCACTTTAGTCTTGACTCAATTGTCCGTCTATATCTTCAATCTCTCTGTCCACTATTCAATCCCGAATAATTGTCTGGCGCACTTATATACAAGAATAGAAGGCGCCTAGCAGATACTGGATTATTCGTGATGTTCCCCGATCTTTCACGAACTCATTACGTGTTAACAGCGACACCAGCGGAATTTAAGTCTATTGCAAAGTTGAATTGAGAAAGAATAAACTAGTTTTATTTAAGAAAGGACTTTAATCGCAGAAGTGTTTCGGGAAGAATTTCTACGAAAAATTAACAAATGGACACAGACATAACAAATTGGTGTCAGAAGTGGGATGGAAAATAAAAAAAAAGAAGAAGAAGGTGGAAACGAGAGGTGGCAAATCAAACTACAGCTTAGCAGATTTGATGGCAGCAATACAAAAACAGCAAAAGAAACAAGAAGAGAGCTTACAATAGTTGTTGGAGGAAAAGGAAAAGAAACAAGAAGAACGAGAAAAGAAACAAGAAGAGAAATTACAGCAGTGGCAAGAAAATTTGCAACAGTGACAGCTCGAACAGCAAAATAAACAAGAAACGAGACTACAGCAGTGGTTGGAGAAGAAAAGAAATAAACA